GCCCCATACTCCAAAAAAATCCTACACTAGCAAAAGCTCATGGACTAACTGAGATAAAGCTTAGGTTCACTCATCTTTCGGTTAACAAAAATACGTGCCGATCTATTTGTCTGTGTGCTTCTCCACAGAAATATGCATACGTTGAGCGGCTGCACTTTTTTGTGTGCTGGCGGAGTTTTGTCCTAGGCTATGCTGCGCTGGAAATTTGAACTCTTTCCACGATAAGCCTTTGCTTGCAGCTCATTCCATATCAAACAAATAGTTGGCATTAACCCTCGGGACGTTTATTTTAATTTATACGTGTATTCGCACTTACTTAGACAATAGTTTAAGTTCTTACCGATATAGAGAGATGCCGTTCTTCCAAGTCCCGAGGATTCCTCGCTAGTGCTTGGCTGTTGTTGAAAACCTGTGCTTGCGTTGGAAAACGTAAGTATATTGGTCAGCAAGCTTAGGCCTAATGACGCAGAAACTTGGGCAGTGGTTTTCCTATTATTTCGCCACACCTTCATATATATATATACACAACAGTGTTTACTACAATGTATAGCTGCCTACTATGGTTTGAATACTGTATACATTTTACTGATCACTCATTATTTAACAGAATAATGAATATATTTTGTGATTAGGCTATTTCGAACTTCAGAGGTACTTCAGGGATAGCATGCCTAGTGCGGAACCATGGCTCACACGTAATAAACGTTTCGTAAATATCATTCCTATACTTGGTGATGGCTGAGGCGATTACGAGGCTAGTATCATAAGCCAGCTTATCATAGGTCGCATGTTCGAATCATGACATGAACGCAAAACAGAGAGACCTTTTTCATATGGCAGCGCTATCTCTGCATAGCGATGATAACGATCATGAGCTCATCCCTTATCAAGGCGTTAGACGTTTGACGAGGAAATAAGAGGTGTTTTTTTTGAAAGGGAGAAATGCCACTTAATGTCAGCAATGCCTGAAGGGCAGGCGTCCGGGGCGCTTGGCTACGGAACCGAGCTCGCATCTTATGATCTTTCTGGTAGTAGTTAAGCCCAAAAACTCCACAACCTGAAGCTGTAAAAGTTTCTAGGCGCCCCAGGGCCGGCCAAGTGCTAAACACCTATATAAGTGGCATCTCCAGACACATGAATTGCTTGCCCTTGTTTTACATGAACTTACGTTCCCCAAGTTGCTGAGTCAGTGTGTCCGCGGTGGCTTCATCAGCTCCTTTAACCCCATAGATAGCGCTAAGCGACTCTTGAGGCTCTTTTGTCGTCGACGATTGCCTGTTGCAGAAAACAAGCCGAGATAGAAATGGTTAGTTAATTTATAAAAATATCTCGATCTTTTAATAAGAATATTCTGGAAATAAAAGACATTTTTCATATATAATAGTAATGTAAGTGCTAATTTTTTTGAGAAGTTGCAAATCTAATTCATAAACTTTCCTTCAGTATAGTGTTGGAAAAAAAGAAAACCCTCCAGAACTATAGGAGCTTTTCTAAATGAAACGCAATCTATAATACATTTTTCCTCAAATGAAGCGTATCTTGATATTAAAAAAAACTTTTCTTCGTGCAGTTTTCACGATTGGCATCTCGCTTAATCAAAAATGGCGTGGTATGTTGATGATTCACCATTGTTTTATTGCTTACATGTACGCTGTAAATATATTAATAATATCTTCCTAATACATGCCTTGTAGGTGACTGTGACATTCTCGAATGTGAACGCGATGGTGGCCTGGACGGGGGTCTACTTTCAGAACGACGATACTGGTCGAAATGATCGTTGAGAGCACCTCCGCTGTCGGACTCGGGTCCAGATCGCCCCCCGCGACCCTGGCTGCGTCCTCGTCGATCGGAGGCACCACCCTGTGATCAAACAAGAACAAATAAAAAGTTACCCATGAAAATCTTCGAATCTTACCCGGCACCGTAGGCATCGTGTTTTTTTTTAGACTTTTTCTGCGTGATAGATTGACCCAATGAACTAAACGAAAAATACAAACAAGTACAGTTTCTCGTTGACTCTCAACCGAAATACACAGCGTCGGTTGTCTCTGTAGTTGTGCAGTGCTAACGTGCTTGCTTACTAAACTTAGAAAGAGGGAGGAGGGGTCTAAGTTCGAATTTGGACGTAGACATCATTTGTTTTGTACTAGAAGCCAGCCGTTCAAAGCAATGCTCAACGGAATAAGTGCGGTACGTGATACTCGAAACTTTTATGTTTACACCGAATTGTTACGGGTAACGACAGCTGTTTTTTCTACGTCATTATAAAGTAAGAAAAGGAGTGGATAAGTTTCGGAGGATACAGTTAAGGGCAAAGCTAAGCCAAATCTCTAACCCATAATTTTTGATAGGTGAGACTAGAAAGTGATCGAAAACAACACTGGTCGATAAGAATCTGTATACTGTATAGTTGCATCAAGCAAAGTGTTCAACAGAATAGACCCGGCTGAGGAGGTGAGGATATCCCTTAAATATCAATTCCAAGACAAGGTTATGGAAGGTGCCTTTTAGGACTTTGGATGTATGGCTTTTTTAACATCCACTATTTTTTCTCGACCTTATATCGACGAATTGTTGCCTTTTCGCATCACACCCAAACGAAGGTAGTGACCACACTCTTGGCAATAAAAAAAGCATCTAAACCAGACTGAACGAGTTTTTCAAAACCTGACCTGAAAATTTGTCGCCGAAAATATGTAAATTTGTTGACAGCTAAGGAGAGCCATAACTTAGTTGACAGGACACTCATTTTTTGCTAGAATTAGAAACGGTCTTTGTTATGTCAAAAAACGGCCAATATTCATGTTCTAACCCAACAATTTTTAAGTAGACACAGAAACACAGAAAACACTAGTTACCTTCTAAAAAACTTTGTAGTTTATTCCAGTGCATAGGAAAGCACTTTACTACATCCAACCATACTGAGCCTCTTAAGGTGTAATTCTTCCTTCTCTCGGACGAGCGTACCGATTCAATATGCGCGCAGCCAATATATAAACAGCCTTTGTACTAGGTATCTAAGAGCAGTAATTGGCAAGAACGTGATTGGCTGGTTTTGAAAGTTGGCGGTACAAATGTATCTTTGCGTTTGCACGAAATTTGTTGGCTTAAGCACAGTGTCATGGGACAAACGCAGTACGAAGGCAGAAAAAAGTGCATGATTATAACAGTCGGCGAGCATATCTTAGGCGATAGGGAAAAAAATTGATGCCTCAGGCAACCGAACAGAAGAGAGGGAGGCGAGCCCGTGCATCTAGTTAGTCACAGGATATAGTAATGGTGCGACCTTGAGTTGTAGTAAAAGAACTATCAGGTGTTGACGACTGCGTGACTACAACACATATCGATATAAAAAAAACACTTCCGAGAAATAAAGCTGAGAAACATTATTAGACTCTTGTGAGAGACACTATTGACTATTAAAGATAGTGGTGTGGAATGAACGTGATTTCTAATACTTCGAACCTACCTAAAACCATCCACCTGCTGATTGTGACGCCACGCCTAGTAATAGATACTTATAAAAAGATATTTATCTTGTTTTCTATGACTCTTTTTAAATAACACTATACCACAAAGGAAGTAGACGGCGCTCTTTTAAGAAGTGCGATGTCTATTACTGTCAACTATCGCCAAACAATAATTAACACATGCAGAAGGGTCTTATAGAAAAAAAATAGATTAGAAAAGACCGGCTCCTCCGGTGTCCTTGGGACTTGTAACATTATTGTAGCGCTTTTAGTAAGCAATTAAAGTTTTCTACATAGCGTGGTGAACTTCTTTTTAAGGTAGCTAGCAGCAGGAACTTTACCTGGTTAGTCTGGTGCAACTGATTTTGTTGCACCATACTGTTATCTGTGAGGTAAGGCTGCTGAGCTCTCTGATGTAGGTTCACTATCTGCGAGGGTTGCGGACCGCTTATCATCGAGGGAAGACCCTGGCCCGCCCCCAGTCGATCCTATAAGACGAAATAATATCACAGCAGGAAATTATGATGATTAGACTACGCTCGGATGGTCTGTACTGGTATACGGTGAATTTCTATAAGTGAAGCACGAAAGTTACGCAAAAGTCCTAGTTTGTAATAAACAACTGCATATATTTTGAAAAAGTACGTAAGCTTATTACTGGCTATAGGCTTCATAAGACTTCACACATGTTAAAGGCCTGATCTATAAATAAATGATATCACACACTAAATTCAATTAGGCAATATTGCGCTTTCAACTGAAATATATATATATATATATATATATATATATATATATATATTTCAGTAGTGTATAGTGCTGTCGAACAAAAAACAAAATGTTTAAGAATTATTACGACACGGAAATTTGCCGGAACTTCTCACAACATGATTTTTTAGCAAATGGCCAATCATTAGAGCGTTAGAAACCTATTCTTTACGAAAAAACAGGTAAACATGTTAATACATATTGCTACTGATTTTGCGCAGCATTGGAATAACTATTAAGTTATTTATCTGAAGAAAGTTCTATCATCAACACATTTAGAGATAGTTATGGGCAAGCACTGACAAGACGTCAGAGGAAAAATCGAATCACGGAAAGCGACAGAATAGACGATATGCCCATCTTTGGGGAGCTTTCATAGGCAGGAGCCCTCGATGGACAACCCAGCGGCTCGAAGGAATTGATCATCTGGCGGCGGATTATCAGTGGCCCTACGACCAAGTTATACGGCGTGTCAGCTACAAAACCCAAATGAACGTTTCCTCCTGGACGAGACCGCTCCATCTTCGGAAAAGTTCCTCGAAAATCGGAGAGCAAAAGCTCAATCCTTCGAGAAGTTCAACAGTGTCAAACAAGCCCTAGCGCACGACTTGGAGCTGGATTTCAATGACATCATCAAGAACACAGACAAGTCTATAATCTTCGCACACGAATTTGACATTGCATGGGTACTTTATTTCGAGCAGTTCATCGCTGTAAGTCAGAAGCTCCTCAACTGTTTCATTTTCCAGAACTGGTGACCTATCGGGGTTTGAGATCGACATTGAGTTGAATATGTTAGGGACCGCACTGGGTACCAGAGCTGAGTGCACTAAGTGCCGTGTTAACCGTGTGTTTGGGCCACAGCAATGCGTGATCACTAGTGAGGGTCGCTAAACGAGCCGCCAAGCTTCTTGGTACCCCACTCGGTGTTGTCATTAATGGTCTAACGAGGCATTTTCGTAAGGCTCTGATAATTTTGTTTTGAGCAGAAATCAGTGTGGCTTATCCCAGTGGTCGGTGAGTCATTATTAGGTTGCAGTCAGAAGGCGTCAGCAGTGCTTCCTGTATCTTCGAAATGGGTACCGGTAACAGCGTGATCAAGACGACGGTCTAAATGGACTGCGTTTTTGTTACCCATCAATACGTACGTAACGTCGTATAATGTTGTGATTCTAAGTGCGTAAGTGAGTGGGGGATGTTGCTGGTCGTTATTATCTTTGTGCTTGTGTTCCATCGTTGCGGGTCTACAGCACAGGGCGTAGAAATGCTCATTCGCTATGTAAAAAGTCGTATGACCGAAGTTTTTTTTTTGACCGGTTTTTCCGAAGGAAGATCTCTGGCCGAAAGAAAGTAGCCGCTATGGATAGCCTGAGGCTCCCTACGACCCCCTGCGGGATTTCCGAGAAGTAGCGTTATGCTATCTTCAGTTTGCGCGGAAGTTCATCTTAATCACCAACCTGCTATATTACTTAATAAAAGCAGACTGTTAGTTCTCCTTGGGCCCGGGCACCAAGATGCCTTTCTGGCTTTGACGAAAGCTTTTACAGGCAGGTCAGATTTGCAGCACTTTTTGTAACATAATAGCGTTTACCAATCGAAATCCACACTGGTGTAAACGGTGTTTGGGCGCAGTTTTTACGCGGAGAAATGAAGAACGCACGGTGGCGTATGCAAATGGGCGACTTTCAGCATTTGTCAGAGACCTAATATTTGTCGTCTGGGTTCCATCTGTACGTGTGTGAGGGGCGCTTTACTGAAACCATCAACAGTAATGCGTTGAAGTACCTGCAAATTAGACGAGACCTCCGTCTAAAGTTGGCCCGATGGGGCTTGGAATTGCTGGAATACAATTTCGATGTCCGACAGCAGCGAACCGCCGCGCCAACATTCTGTCACGTCTACACACAGCTCTTCGAAGGAAGACCATGAGCTGCAACGTTGACTTCAGGTCGATTTCAATGCACTAATTCGCAAATCTACGCTGGGCTATTTCCCTTCCAGAAGGTTTTTCTGACGGTAAGCGAGTTCCTGTTGCATGGACTTCATTGTCTCGCACCACGAGTTCCTTGACTGGTCCTCGTACGATTAGCCGACCCAGCAACGTTAAGAACTGTTAACCGGCTGGTCTTCCGCTATTTTCTAAAGTATGGGTATTTTGAACATATATTCAGTTGGGGTATGTTCACAACTGGAAAATCTACCGGAGAATAAAACGGAGCCCGTAAATTTATTGACATGATGCTTCTCGAAGATGGAACTGGGGCGGTTACGTGTTCTGGGAGGTGCACGCAGTGTTTATAGATCACTACATTTGTCTCGTTTATACTTTTGTAGTTTGCCGAATGACTACCAGGATCTTAAAGAGACACTGCTTGCTTTTAAGGATTGTTATAATGCTATAGACGCCATCGTTATAAACAACGCAAGCGAACAAACCTCTACCAAGGTACCAAGATTTATAGTTTGCATCATTATACTAATAAAAGTTCCTATAGACTAGAGCTGGATAAACATATGACTTGCTATAACGTCTCCGCGCAACTAACTGAAAAGGTGCAGCCAATGCTTTAAGGCAGCAGTGGGCATCAGGTCTTGATTTGTAGGAACGTAGGAACTTCCTAGAAACAATGCAGTCAAAATTCTTCCGACTTTCCTCAGACGCGGACCAACAACATGTCTTTAATTTTTCTTGAAATATTCATCGAGAACACGAAGTCAATCACACAGAATTGCAAGCGGTCGACTTACGCACCTAAGAAGGCGTTAAAAAATATAGGCCTGTATTGATACAGGATTATAAGCGGCATAGACTCCGAATAAAGCTGTAGTTGGAGTGATCAGCAGCTACATTGTTTAAGTAAAAAGGTGCGTTTATAAGCACGCAAACGCGTCTTTTAGCGACAACTCTTTTGATGAGTACTGCATCGAAGTGTTTTCATTTAGACTCAAGTTAAAAACAGGAGTAACAAAATTTACTCCGAAAACACTGTGTATACACATACACGAACCCTATTTAGCCTTGTGGTTCTGAGCTAAAACTCAACAAGTTCTTCGACTAGGTAGTACTACATTCAGAGTCAGTCATCCTAAGGCCTACACATGACCTGCCTTCATCTACAAAATTTGCCAATGATTTTAATTTGTGAATACATTTAAGTAAGCAAATAACAACGTCATTCAAGATCGTTACCTCCTGTTGGGGGCCGAGTGATGTCTGATTGAGTTGGTGTTGTAGCTGCTGTGGCATTGTCGAGGACATTATCTGTTGTTGGTGTTGAGCTGATCCCAACTGCGACGCTCCCTGAGGATGACGCAGCTGTTGCCCCTGCTGTTGTTGCAGGTGGCTGCTTGATAGAGTTGCTCCGTACAGTGACTGCCTCCTCGGTGGTGACAGAGGAGTACCAGGACTCTGCAGAACTTGAGGCAACTGAGTGGGCATCTTCGGGTCCAGCTGGCTCGCAGGGACGCCCAGGTGGGGAAGCTGAAGGCTCGGATTGTTCAATGGGTCCTCCGTTGAGGGAGCCGACGAACCCCTTAGACCCAGTCCCGCCATGGCCAAGTCCCCCGGCACTTGATTCAAGCCAGGATGAGAGCCCGGCACCAGATAAGCCCCCGCCTCCAGATGGTTGGACACTCCCCCGATTTCTAAAACAAGAAATACAACATTAATTAGCCCATCTTTGGCGCCCTGTCTATATTTCGAGGCCATAATAAAGAAAATTGTTTTTAAAAAAACTGCTGCAAGAACCAGCATCAACTTGTACATCGATATTTACTACACATTGTATATAATCGCGATGATATTGCACGCACTTCGTGGCCATTAATTACTGTTAAGATGTTACTGACAGGCAGAACAAAAAAAAGTAAAGGGATTTCTGCTATGCCTAAGGGCTAACAGCCGTGGACCTATGACACCATTCAAATCAGCAAAATTCTCATTTTTTAAAACTTTATTAACTTAAAAAAGAAAGAAATAAACCTTCTAAGATCACATTATCTTAGGGAACTGACACAATTTGATATTATGTTCGCGCAGTACTGCTCGGACAGCACTCACTCGTCAAAAACCTCGAAAATGGAGGCTTGCAGTTAATGAATGAACCAATATCTAGCGCTTCACATTGTTGAAATTGCTAACAAAATCAATCATACACTATATGACGGGCGTCGATTCGTCAGGAAGAAAGGTGTTTCCTAGTGGGATCATTAGCAGGCCTATTCTAGGAAGATTTTGAGAAGTTGAATAGTATCACGGAGATATATTTATGGGCGTCAGAAACATTTGACTGGCCTTAGTACATGACTTATTTTCTTGTACTTGTATCTCTGTTTTCACGTATCGCCGTCCGGCATCCTATCAGACTGCTGGCTCCCAGCACAAACCAAGTCTGTTTATGCCCAGATTCGAACTTAGGCCACAACGTGCCCCTAAGATTAGTAGACAAATACGTTAGCCACAAAGCTATCACAAAGATCTGATTGTACTTACACCCTAATAATCGACCCAACCCGAGAACGATTTCATTAAAGCAACGACACCCAGATAGCGTTTGCGTCCTGTTCGCTTCTGGCGATGAGTGGTGCTGAGTGATGCTCGACTTGCTCTCGATAGTACGGATCAGCTATTGTTCTATTGAAATGACAGAGTGAACTGTCCTCAAACTTTTATCACCAAAAAAGGTGTCCAGATGACTAACGTGAATTATGAGTCATTGAAAATTGTGCCATGTTATGTAGCTAGCTCAGGCAAAGCAGTGTCCTAGGCCTCCGCATCAACGCCCTTGCCGCATCTATCACAAGATTAGAAGTATAGTCTTGATATCATTTGTATATGTTACGTTTTTGCAAAATGACGAGGGAAACGCATTTTCTGGCCATTCCACATCTATTGAATATATGTAATTCATCAGTACAGTGTCTATGTTTAACAATGTGATCGAAACGCATGAATTTAAATAAAACCTACATAAATATACTCATGAGCGGAATCGAGCTCACGGTATGAAATAATAGTAAGAATGTTGACGTTAAACCTTAGCACTTGAGAACTTCAGTTATTATACTTGAAATAGCTTATGATCAATTTTTTAATCCACAATATATTAACGCATGAGTCAATATTTAAGGCCGAAAGCACTAAACCCTAACCTAATCATTCCTCGAACTATTGAAAACAAAAATAATCACTGGCAACTTCTGACGTCCGGGAACTGCTTTTTGCGTCAGCTGTAACTAGCTAAATAGAAACGGTTGTTGAAAAGCTAAAGTTGCAGATCATCAGGTTCCAGGTCTCCTTCTAGACATAAACCGTACGATAATTGAACCTTAAATAATACGATATTATTTTTACTTGCCGTTTTTTATATCTATTTTCCAAGCTTGGAAAAATGTAATATAGCATATAATATGAATATTGGCTCGTACATTTTCTTGCCTCTGTGGTAATTAGTACAGCTCTTTCCCATGTGGTCACGACAAAGTTGTTACACGAAACAGCCATTGATGGCTACATGATTTACAGGATCACCATTAGTAACAATCTAGACCATGAAACATCGATTTCTGCTACCAGAATTATGATGATGTCTATTTTTCGTGTTAAACTCAGCTGGCCAAACGCTTTGTCGTTTTTCTATGTTATGTGGGACGGGCAGTAGCTAACGAGGACCACACTGTACCGGGAGTTTTAGCTTCGTCCGTCTGTTGAAGAAGCCGCGACCGTTAGCTGAAACATCGCTTTTCATCATCATATATAT